TAATTGTTAATACAATTATATTCGATGATACAAATTGTATTTATTAATATACTTGATACACTTGATTTGCTTCAACAAAATGAATATAATAGCCTTTGAAAACGTAATTCTTTTTGTTTTCCCACCAGGTGAAGCTTGACTAAATCCAGATTCGCGTCAGAAAGTCCCATAAGAGAAGGGCGGGGTAAAACGCTTCCTAATAAAGGTGACTTCGTACCTAGGGAGAATCGAATCCAAAAACTATGGTTAAGTATGAAGGAGTACTTACCACATCATCACAACCCTTGTTGGTCTTTAATAAAATTATATTAATTTTTTTCATGCACAATTATTGATCAGATATACAAGTATTGTTCATATATACAAATCAATCGTAAATCTCTCATCTCTCATATCTCTTCTATATCCCCACATATCGCTCTTCTCTCTCCCTCCTCTCTCAATCCCACTCGTCTCTTGCCTCCATCTAGTAGCTAATTTTTTGATACAAAACAATTGTATTTGTGATACAATTATCAATTAGACATACAACTATATTGTGATTCTCTCCTCTATCTCCAAATATTTCTTGCCTCTATCCTTCCTCTTTCAATCTCGCTCGCCTCTATCCTCCTTCTAACATGTAGCTACGAATCATAATTAAATAAACTGTAACTAAGCAACCTAATTATGTTTCTAGTCTTAGTTGTTTTATAAATTTCCTTATTTTAAATCAGCCCAATATAAGCCCAACCCAAAATTCATCAATATCAGCCCAACCCAAATTGTTTTTGACCCGCCCACATTGCTTATACCCTAACCCTTTTCTCTTTCTTCCTCACTTAAATAACACACTCCAGTAAACCCTAAACCCTAATTCTAAATAAGCCTCCGCCTTCAAATTCTCTCCTCTCTCGGAGTTCCGTTTTGTGGAGGTGAAAATCCATCGTAGTTCCATAATCGGCGCGCCGGAGAAAGGTAACATTAGATTTATGGTTCGTTTATTACTCCTTCTGCGTAGTGATTTTTCTTAAAGATAAACCTTAAACCCTTTGTTAACAGATTCTTCCGGAGATGTTGGTATTGTTTGAAACACCGGCGGGTTTTGCCCTTTTCAAAGTTTTGGATGAGGGAAAGCTCTCCAAAGTTGAGGTATCATAGCATTCATCTCTTATCCTTTTTCTCCTTCTTCTGTGTTTTCATGTTTTATAGAATCGTTTTTTCTTTTGTGTTTGTTGCAGGATTTGTGGAAGGACTTCTCCTCAACTGATTCCGCTAGAAAGGTAATTTTTTTGGGCAAACCATTTGATGAGTTAATCGTGAGGTAGAAATTTTGGTGTAGCATGTTGAAATTTGGACATAAATTGTGCTTGTAAAGTTTCTAACTTTATGTTTCATACATTCTTCATTTACTTGACTGGTTGGTATGAAAACAGGTCGTGAAGCTAAAAGCTTTCTCCAAGTTTGAAAACACCTCAGAAGCTCTATCAGCAGCTACGTTGTTGATAGATAGCAAACCCAGCAAAGGACTGCGCAAGTTCTTGAAAGCACACTGTGATGGTGAAACTTTGGGGGTTGCTGATTCAAAGCTAGGAAATGCAATTAAAGAGAAATTGGTCTGCTTCCTTCTTATGTCAGTTCTTCATTTTTTGGTTTGTTTTGGTTCTCAATATTTATTTTTGGCTGATGTTGGTGTGGGATGTGTTTGCAGCAAATTGATTGTGTTCATAATAATGCTGTCATGGAATTGATGAGAGGAGTTAGAAGTCAGTTGACTGAGCTCATTTCTGGTCTTGCATCTCAAGACTTGGCCCCAATGAGCTTGGGTTTATCTCACAGTCTTTCAAGATACAAGCTAAAGTTTAGTCCTGACAAGGTAATTTGCTATACGTTGACTGATTTATTTCATGTTCTATGTGGTTTCATTATGGATATTCTTTCATAACAAATATTGGGATAAGTGAATGCATGGAGAGAAACAAAGGTCAGTGTAGTGTATAAAACGGAAATATAGCGAATGAAAGGATCCTCCACCTTCAACGATGTGGTTAGGGGGTTCAATCCAGCAAGGAAACATAGTGGAAAAGGACTAACCATAACTCCTGGGTAAGGGATTTTGGGTGGTGCCTTATAAAAAATCAACTGCTGTGGAACACTCTGGTTTTGTATGTTCTAGATTGTATCCTTTCTGCTAAAGTTTTAGTATTACTTTATCTTAAATAATTTGAGATTGTAATCTGTTGTTGGACAAAATTGTTCTATACAATTTCTTATGATGCTTGATGGCCATTATTAGAATTTTAGATAGTCTCAATTATTTGATTTCAGCCTGGAAATAGTCAATTCTGATGCTTTGAAGTTTAATTTTTAACTGTAACAGAAGGTCTAAGGAGTATAATTTACAAAAAATATGGAGTACTGTTGGCCCTAAAGCACACTGATGGTGAAGCATTTAGGCTGGCAATCTCATTGTTTGCGCAGCCACTTTTATGTTCATTGCATATGTATCCCTTTTGATGCTTCACATGTAATTTGAGTAGTTACGCTCTGTTTATGTGGTTTCCTGAGATCTGACAGTTTCTTGCCATGGAGGTTATGCAGTTTCCTGTAATTCATGGAATCCTGACAAAGTCTGTTTAGCTTGTAGTGGATAAGACTGTAGTGCTTGGGCTGTGCTATTGTGCAATGTATATCTATTATGGCTAACAGTTAAAAGAATGTTTTACAGTCATATGATTTTCTGCCTCTTGAAGTTCTCTTGATAACTTATAGATATTTTGATGAAAACATGTAAATATGTCTCTGGGTAGCAGTTATTTGTCCAATTTTATATTTTTAACTGACTTATCTTTTTGTTGAGCATGTAACAGTACAACTGACTGTTTATTTCTTTTACAGGTGGACACAATGATTGTACAGGCCATTAGCTTGTTGGATGATCTTGATAAAGAGCTAAATACATATGCTATGAGGGTCCGAGAATGGTATGGTTGGCATTTCCCGGAACTCGCAAAGATTGTACAAGATAACATTCTTTATGCCAAGGCTGTGAAGTTGATGGGTGACCGTACAAATGCTGCAAAGTTGGATTTCTCTGAGGTAAGGAGTGGCTTCTTTTTAAATGCTTCAAATGAGTTATACTAAAAAAGTAGACTACTGTTCATTCAGTAGTATTCATTTGTATATTGGTTAGCTTGCTTGTTGGAATGAATTTTTCTGATATATTGTAGTCCAATGAGCAATCTTGCTTTTTACAAGATTCACACTTCATTCTTAATTACACAAGACAAAATTTCACACTTTTTGTATGATAATGTTTTACAGATACTCCCAGAAGAGGTTGAGACTGCATTGAAAGAGGCATCCATGATCTCCATGGGTACTGAAGTTAGTGATCTTGATCTGGAGAATATTAAAGATCTATGCACCCAAGTTCTTTCATTCTCCGAGTACAGAGCTCAGTTGTATGATTATTTGAAGAGCAGGATGAACACCATTGCTCCAAATCTTACAGCTCTTGTTGGAGAACTTGTTGGTGCTCGGCTTATTGCTCATGGTGGTAGCTTAATGAATCTCGCGAAGCAACCTGGAAGTACAGTTCAGATACTTGGTGCTGAAAAGGCTCTTTTCAGAGCTTTGAAGACAAAACACGCAACTCCAAAATATGGGCTTATATATCATGCATCTTTGATTGGACAGGCAGCACCAAAACACAAGGGTAAAATTTCAAGATCTCTTGCTGCAAAGACTGCATTGGCTATTCGATACGATGCTCTTGCAGATAGCCAAGATAATTCCATGGGTTTGGAGAATCGTGCCAAGGTAACATTTGTACTAATTATTATCTTAGGATTATATTTTCATTCTTATCCTTGTGTAGTCTGATTATTATCATATGCGACTTTTTTTTAGCTTGAGGCACGCTTAAGAGCCTTAGAAGGCAAAGAGTTGAGCAAATCAGCTGGGTCTGCTAAGGGCAAACCTAAGATTGAAGTTTATGACAAGGATCGCAAAAAAGGAGGGTTGATAACACCAGCTAAGGTTTGGGACTGTCTTTTCTTGTATGCGACAGTTTCTTCGTTTGCTTCCAGTGTTGACTTCTCCTTCTGTGTAGGTTTACAATCCTTCTGCTGATTCTGTTATGGGACACACTGGGAATGAGGAAAAGAAAATGAGTATAGATGATCAAACCGAGGAAGCAGCAGGTGATGAATCCCCTGTTACTAAAGGAGAGAAGAAAAAGAAAAAGAAGAAATCTGCTGAAGCGGAGGATGGCGCAGAACCTGAAGAAACTGGGAAGAAGGAGAAGAAGAAAAAGAAGAAACATGCGGATAATGAAGTGGAAAATGTAGAACTCGAACAAAGTAAGAAAAAGAAGAGGAAACACGCTGATGTCGATGAGGATGAACCAGAAACCACGGAAAAGAAGAAAGATAAAAAGAAGAAGAAGAAAGCTGAAGAATAAAGTGTCCCAGCTGAGACATTTTTTAGTATCAACAATTTTGTTTTTTGGGCATGGGCGGCATGTTTTTTAAGTTGTACAATGATGTCTTTGTTAAGTTATTTAGTGCTTTGTAATGCAACTTAGGATTCTGTTAGTTAAACACCATGCTTTTCAATCTTACTATGGATGCGTTATTGCTACTTTGGAATATTTGCTATATGGTATTTTACATGTTTAAGCCACACATGAGTGCATGAGGTCTTGTTATGCCTTTTTCTTTTTCATTTGGTGTTTTATTCTTGTATTGGAGCGACAACTCTCCTCTCTTATACATATACAATTATATAATAGATACACATATACTCTCTCCACTGTCTATCCTTTCTAGCTCGCCTCTCTCTTTCCTCTTTCAATTTCGCTATCTCTCTCTATATGTATGTTATATATATATAATTGTCTGACAGATATATATATATATATACAAATATACAAATAATTTCTCTCTCTCTACTCTCTGTCGTCTCTCGCTAGCTATAAATTGTAATACTATATATCTGTGAAACTTAATAAGGCATTTTTAGTGGCTATTTGTGAAATTTTCCCCTCGTTAGATATGCTAATTTATGTTTTTGCCAATTTGGATTTTGGTCTCCATACGGTGCCATTTTTACTATTAAAGCTCAACGCTCCACGCATCTGAAGTCTCATCCTCTCGTTAGTCTCTGCAAATCGAAAATCAAAATTAAAGCTTAGCAGATTTCATTTGAGTAGGAAGAAGAAGAAGACGATGTCGTCTATTGGAACTTCTAAGGGTGTATTAGAGATAGTAAAGTTCGCAGTATACGTATCAGTTCCAATTGGTCTCATGTACATATTTGCCAACAACAACAAAAATCTTCAGAAAGTCATGGGACATGTAAATTTCCTCCTCTCTTTTTTCTCTATTTATGGTAAATTTTCGTTCTTTATGCTTTAATTTTTCTGGGTTTCCAGTTTTCTTTTGGGGTTTATGTTTCAGCTCGAGTCAAACCCTTTTTACATGTCTAGTTTGATTGTGTTGCTGATTTGTAAAAACTGAGTAATTGTTGGAGGTGGTGTTTATGGAGGCTTAAAAATGCAATCCCTTTTACCTTTTTGAATGAAATGGTCTCAAATAGTGAGGAATAGATACATATGATTTGTATAATGGACTGATAACTAGTTTGACATTGAACCTTAGCTGATTGATTGAATATAATCAGAGAGGGAAATGGGAATCGCTTGAAATAGGTGTTTCTGCTATCTAGGGTTTTTTTAATTGAAGGAATTGGGAGGTGGGGTTGGGGAATTTGAAAGGTAAAGTCTTGATGTATTAGTTAAGTCAAATGAGGTGAACACTATGATCTTTCATAACAATTGAAGAAGATTATGTAAATTGGAATGTTTTGTGTGATCTATATTTAGTAATTTTACATATGCTAGACAACAAGCTTGAACTAATCGTTGAGAAAGGTGGATGTAGATCCTGGATTGAGGAGTGTATAATGCAGAACCTTTTTTTGATAGGTAAAATATGTATTTTGTGTATTTAGAATAGCTAAGCACTAAGCTAGTGCTGGCAGTCAGATACGGGCCTTGCACTAGAGTGTATAATGCAGAACTAAGCAATGAAGAAACTCTGAAAGAGACTAGTAAGAAATATACTTCTGATGTCGCAATTTATGTAATGCACTTTCCCTTTTAGTTTGTTGCGGAAAGTGTAATATCTTAGTCTATCCCAAAAAGAACGATACCGTTCTATATTTAGAAATAGTTTAAGTTCAATCTTTTTATTTTACCTATGTATAGGCGCACAAATATCTGACTTGTTTTAAACCACAAGTTTCAAAAGTCTTTCGTTCTTTCTTGAACTACATGCCAACTAAACAGCATCATATAAAATGGTATTGAGGGAGCATAAGAGAGGGTGAACGAGCAACAAAGAGGAGAAAGTGTTGCATGCCGCCGAAATTAAAATAGCAATAAGATAGCAAAGAAGATGAGCAGAAGTGTGGGAAAGAGAGAGTTGTTGCTCCACAGAGGATTCGCCATTTTGACGTAGATTCTATGGATATAGCTACTTCTTAGATCTTGCTTTCGTTTTTGGATTTGGATAGACTCTCATGTTCTTGGAAGATTCGTAGACTTGATAAAATACTTCCACATGTATTATGGTCTCTGTACTGTTTGACACGTGAAATGTATGTCTGAGATTCTGGGCGGTAAAATTTTACTAGAATGTGTTTCTTTAGGTGTTTGTTGGTTAAATCGAAGGGAAGGAATACACAGGAAATAGTCAACCCGGTCATTTTATTTAACTGAAATGAATTATTTTACCTTCCCAATCTTTTCTTTAACCATTTACACCTCTAAAAAGGTCAGCCACTAGAAGTGTAGCTTGGCTATGAAAATTAAGTGCGCAACTTGCGTGATCCTCAAATGTGATAAGTGCAGGCCAAGTATGTACTTTGAATGGTGAAGTGACAATGGTTGCAAGATGTTAAAGATGCCTGGATATTGTGAGGCTTAAAGATGATCCTTTGTTCATACTTAGTAAGATATGTCTTCTACTTTTTGGTGGGTAGTATAGTTGGATCATCTATGTGCTTAGACCAGCTATTTCTTTGTTTTACAGTTTACCTCACTGAAAATATATTATGTGTAAGTCGTAGTAAGATGCATTCGGTTGTTTCTGGTGTCATACTGATGATGCAGCTCATCTTCGGTGCTTCCAAATCTCCGAATGTTTTATTTCAAACTGATGATGCATTCATAAACATTTTGCATTTTCTTTTTAGGTTTGCAAAGTTATCTAAAACTTTATGTAGGTGCGTTCTTCAGGGTGTAATCACAAATATTTTCAAGCTTCCATCAATAGCTTATTTTTCAGGTTTCATTTGTGTTCTCTTTGAAGTTAATAGTTATTATAAGCCCATGTAACTCCCAAGTCACGTGGGCCAAATAGTTTCCACTGCTTTGGTGGTTTTGGTCCCGCATTGGACAATGTTTGGAGATTGCAATGGCTTCTATAGAAGTACAACAGAACAACCACCCTTTTGTTGATAGATGAAGTGCTTCATTTCAGATCAATTCTTCTCTGCATTTGCTTTTGATGATTGCTGCCAAATTGACTTTCAAAGTTTGTCACTCTCTGTTTCTCTCTCACTCTCTGGTCTCTCATTCTAAGCTTATCATGAGTTGTATATACACTTGGAAAACCTTTGGTAAGCCGCTGAAGTAAATAGGGAAATTGCTTAACTAATAATGAATTCCTGAACTGACAAAGACCTAACTTTTTTTGAAAGGTAATGTTGAAATACCTATTATAACTCCTATATTCTGGATTAATTACAATGCATTCCGTAAATAGATAGTTTTAAGAAATTCACTGACCCTTTCCACATTCTATTAGCTTCCTGCTTATTTTAATCATAGTTACCGCAACTGAAAATTTAGGAGCTGATAAAAGAAATTTCTCTAAGCATTATATTTGAAGGGAAAAAAGGAGATAAATAGGAAACATATGGTCATAAGAGACCTAGTTATGTTTTGCGAGCAAGGCTATTCTTGTGAGCTGGACTAGGTACGTTGGACGATGGAGATAGTTCAGATGCCATCAGGGTTATGCTGTCACTTAAATATCAAAACCATTTTGAATTTAATTGATATGACTCCCCCCACCCCCAAACCCCCCATCCCCAAAAAACAAAGAAGAAGATAATTTGGTGGATGTGTTTTATCACAAGAGAAGGCTTATGCTTTTCATTCTGGGCTTTAGTTATTCCAATTTCCCCTTGCAACCAATAGTATTCATTAAGATAATATTCATTTTTCTGATTGCCTTCAAGTCCAGTTCAATTACTGTGCTGTATTCTATCAGCATGATGTAGATTTAGCATGAAGCTACCTCAGTTGGAATTGGCTCTTCAGTGAGCAGATGCTGTAACAACGATCATCTCCAAATCATATTATATATCTAAATGAATTTATACCACGATTGGTGTTGTAACTCTTTGCAACACAGTTTCAATATATATCTTTGGCTTATAACTTCCATGTTTTTTTTGCTTGTGAAGCGTGAATATGTAGTTTATCCTACAGAAACTGTAAGGCCCCAATCGCCCGAGGAACTGAGGGAGATGGCAAAAGAAATAGGTCGTAAGAGAGAGAGGGACCAAGCAATGCGGAGCTGAGGAAGACGTGCAACCCACAAAATGAAGAGGCGTAGAAGTATTTGTAGGTCTGTTAGTAATGCTTGCACAAAGGAACATCCTGATTCCTTTCTGTGCCGCGAAGAGATGGATGTGCTATTATTAGTGTTCACCAATAAGTGAGTTTGTTGCCAATAAAACTGTGTAGCAAAGCCATTGATTGTATACTGCCATTTCTGTGTTTGATTTATCTTTCCTTTTAACATACTTGTAACAGTTAAACAGAAGTTGGAACACTCCCTTTCTTCACAAAAAAGGTGTTTCTGTCCCCTTTTTTTCTTTGTAACACAGCATCATTACTAATGTGAACCATCTTCAATTGTTTGCTCGAAAATATTTCAGATTATGAATGTGAAATGTTTGTATGGAGAAGACACATTCATCTAATGTTTACTAAAAATGCAACCAGGACTGCGATCCCTTTGCCTTAACCAGGGATTTGGGATTCGAATTGTTCGATTAGAAAATCTCTTCTTAGTAAATATTTTGACTCCGCTACTGTGTTCAGCGTATGTCTTAGGGGCAAAGGCCCTTCTTTAATATTGACTGGACATAATTAAAAGGATGTCTACATCTGTTTATCTGTATTTGATGCATGGGTTCCACACATCCCATTGAAGTCTCTTTTTCTTCTTTTTTTTTTGGAAAAAAATATTTATAGAATTATATAATCATAATCTATCGAAAATAACCTCTTTATAATTTATCAATGGTGTTCGTGTTGCTGGTGCAATATTCTACCAAGACTTAAAGCAAATACAAAGAAAACATTCAGATTTTTTTTTATTTTGCCGGAATTTGAACTTTGGTCAATAATGAATTTTAAAAGCTTCCAATATATTATGTCATGCTTCTTCCAAGAAAATGAGATGAAGAATTTTAATTTGTTGTGTTATTTTCTTGGTATCCATTGACTTGCATGAGTCAATGGGTCTTTCTAATATAATTAAAAATAATGAGTCTTTTCTTAACTAATGAAAATTCTAGTCATCATAAGAATTTCCTTGAAGCTTAGAGTAGCAGAAAAAACAGGTAACTTCTTGTTTTTTCCTTTTTCTGCACTGAAGTTTTGAGATTTTTTTGGGATAAATTGATTTGTAAAATCTTTCAATACTCAAAAGTAATAAGTTTCTTGTGAAGTTTATACCTTAATCAGTAATGGGGTTCTTCATTCTTGCTTTCAAATATTAAAAAAAGGTGCATTTTCTCTGTTTTTTTTGTATTTACTTGCTTGAGTTCATAATTCTTGAAGTTATGAAAGAGCCAGCCTTAGTAGTGATGTAGTTGTTAGTATGTTGCTCGGACCCTCCAAAAATGTTGCACACATATCGAATCCTTTTAAAAAAAAGATAGCTTTTTGAGGATCCGACATATATCTGTTGGTATTTTTGAAGAGTCGGAGCAATATAGGCAGGCGGAATATTTCTATCCTTTTTTCATACATAGTTGTTATAATTTTGTTTCATTTCCTTTGATTGAAAGATTATTAATCATCTTCAAAGTGTATAATTTGCAATCACTTAGCTCTTCTTGAAAGAATAAAAAATCATTTTTTTAGGTAGAATTGAACTTTGTACACATTTGTGAAAAGATTAGCACTTTTAGCTTCTTTTTCTCTTGTTTATTTATATGCAAGTACCAAACTTTCATGAGGAATGTTTACACTACTTTGTTGGTTTATGTAGAATCTCAGATTTTCATCTTCGGTAAAGCTGCTTAATTTGTCGAAAATCTGAAACAGTGATTAGTGAGTAGATTGTTGGAGTAGAGACAGTATGTTGAATGCAGAAGAACTTGCTTAGATTTCATAGATTTAGTGATCAAGTCAGGTGAACAAGTGCCATTTGAATTTGATAGGTGTATCGTAATGGCGGAGTTAGTTCCAATTGGGACTATTTTGGCTGTGATTAGTAGTCAAGTAATAAAGACCTCTCAAGCTGCGAATGATGTAGTATTCGAGAAGGAGAGTTTTAAAGTTCTTGGGAACTATCTTTCGGACATTGAGCCCGTCTTGAAAGAATTGCAGCTGCAGAAGTTAAACGATTCCCCGGCTGCAAGGCAAGCTTTGGAATCCATTGAAGCTGACTTGCAGAAGGCTAATGACTTGGTTGAGAAGTATAAGAACCGAGCCCGTTTCTACTTGCTGGTCAAATGTAGGAGCATCGTTAAGGAGGTACAGGAAGTCACTAGGGATATAGGTAAATCCCTGGCCGCGTTATCCCTAGTCAACATGGAAGTCTTGTCAGGGATTTCAGAAGAGGTAACTAGGCTGCAGAATGAAATGCAAAGAGCTAACTTTGAGGCATCTCAGTCGCGTCTCCAAATTGTTAACAAGTTAAACCAAGGTCTATCGGATCAGATACATGACCAAGAATTTGCTAACAATATTCTTAAAGAAATAGCAAGGGCTGCTGGGGTGCCAGTGGAGCCAGCAGAGATAACGAAAGAGCTAGATAATTTCAAAAAAGAGAAAGAAGAAGCTGCTTACCGAAAAGAGAGAGCTGAAGTCTTGTTTTTGAATCAAGTCATTGAGCTGCTCTCACGAGCCGATGCTGCAAGAAATTATGAGGAAGTCAAAAGCCAATATTTCGAGAGAGTTGGCATTATAGAGGGATATGATCCTAGAGAAGAATACATTCAACCATTTAAAGCTTTTATTTGTTGTATAACAGGAATTATAATGGTAGATCCTGTAAGCCTATGTACCGGTACTGCCTGTGAGAGAGCTTCTATCCAAGCTTGGTTTGACTCAGGGGAGAAAACTGATCCTGAAACAGGTGAAGAGCTGCAGGATTTGTCGTTCAGGCCAAACCTCCAATTGAGACAATTAATCCAAGAGTGGAAAGAGCTCAACTATTGCATCATAATCAGGGCTTGCAAGGGGAAATTTCTTTCTGGAGTAGATGCATCAATTGAGGAGGCTCTTGCACAAATGCAAGAACTAATGAAAGCAAGTTCGATAAATAAAGAATGGGTGACAATCGGGGGACTCACTGAAATTGTCATCTCCAAGCTTGGCATGTTACGTAGTGGATATCTGCAAGATAAAGTGATGATTACATTGAAGGACGTCGTAGATGGGCATGCTAGAAACAAGGTGAGTGAATTTCTTTAAATATTAAAAAAGAAAATGTGAAAGTAAGCAAACTCATGTAATTCTGCTTTCACCTAGAATACTATGTCCTTTTACTTTTGTTCCGTATAGCCATATTACATAAATGTTTCATGCAGGACTTCAGTATTTCGTCTGAAAAAAATGAAATTTTCGTTTAATTTCTCTTTTAACTGTTTGCACTCTAGAACTATTAATTAATTTATGCATTGTGCTGTGGTTTGCTTGTTGCTTGTTGTTACTAACGTATGTATGGCCTACTTTTCCACGCTTAGTTGTTTCTAAGTATAGGACACCAGGATAGTGAAGAACGGACGTAAGGGGTGGGGGTAATATATGGGCTTATCATGTGGATCATTTCATATCATCTGATAAGGGCTACCAGAGTTAACAATGTTATTGACTTAATAATATAGGTCTTATTTATCGTTAGATTTTTGCTTTTGTCAATGTAGTTCTAGTCTTTGAGGTCGCTTGTCCAAAGCAGAGCGTTGCATCCCACATCGGCTGTGGAAAGGAAAATTAGACTCATTATATGGTCTCACGCAATCCTCATTCCTCACCTCTTGAGCTATCTTTCCGGATTGAGTTAGGCCCCAGGTCCATTTCTCATGATGTTTTTAGAACCAGGTCTGTCCGTGTTTGATCCCCATGTCATATAGTCTACGGAATCACGGTCCATTTGTTATAATCCTGCTCTCGTGAATTAGCTTTTGGGGTTCCATTTTTTAACACAGAAAAAGATGTCTTTTCTAGTTCTCCTGAATTTCCCTTGGTGTTCCTTAAGCCAGGGGCTAGGATCAGGATGTATGAGCAAATATACATCCAAGTCTTGCTTTTAAACATGCGAAGTCCAAAGCTTTATTCCTAATTAAACTGTTATTCCATATAATTTATAGGACGTATTCGTTGAGAACCAGGGGTTTGAGAATGTTGTAGCATGCTTCGGAAAAAACTATGCCACTTCAACTGCTGCAATTGAGCTGATATACGAGGTTCTCCACGATCAGTCAAGTTGGAACTTGCCTTATTGCCAGAAGCTTTCTCAGCAGTCCAATTCAATCTCGCTTCTCGTCTCTTTTCTCAAAAATCAGGCCAGTCCATCAGCTGAAAAAGCAGAAGAAATCCTGGCTAAGCTTTGTGATGAAGAAGAGGAGAACATTGTTAAGGCTGCTCGAGAGGGATGGTATGGACCATTTATCGATACGTTACACCATGGTAAGCATAGCTGCAACACTCTTATATGTTATATGTTACAGTTGCACATGGGGATATAGATAATAATCTTAATATCAGCGTATTCTTCTCTATTGGATTCATGTATCAGCCTAGTTAGAGCATACACATTTTTTTTTGGAGTTTTACGTTAAGTTATATCGTTCAATTATCTTCAGGATCAGCATCTTCAAGAATGTCAATTGTTAGAGCAATTCTCGGTTTGGAACTCAGGGATGAAGATATGAAGCTTCTCGGGGAGAAAGGGATTATTCTTCCTCTGCTTGAGATGACATCTGGAAATATTGAATCAAAAGAACTTTCATTATCTGCACTTGTGAAGCTATCAAGCTTTTATGACAATAAGATGCTTATAGCTGCAGCTGGAGGGGTTGCTATTGTTTTAAAGCTAATGATTTCATCCCATGTACGTTCAGTTATCATCGCTAAGTGCTGTGAAGTTCTAGCTAATCTTTCGGGCAATGGTGATGGAGTTAAGTTCTTGATTGATGAAACTGGAAACCAACTTGTACTAGAGCCTGTAATCGCGTACTTGCTGGCTTTTCAACAGAATTTTACATCCTCCTCGGACATTGTTCGTAGGCATGCTTTACGTGCACTATTAGGAATTTGTCAATCTCAAGCTGGACTTGTCAAATCAGCAGTTCTCTCTGCCGGTGGTGTTTCAGCTGTCCTTCCCCTTCTTGATGATCCGAACCAGGAAATACGAGAAGCAGCAATCAATCTACTTTTCATCTTCTCACAACACGAGCCAGAGGGTGTCGTTGAGTATCTTCTTAAGCCAAGAAGATTGGAAGCTTTAGTTGGTTTTCTTGAAAATGATAGCAAAGGTGATGTACAGATGGCTGCAGCCGGTTTACTAGCCAACCTTCCTAAATCGGAAACTTCACTCAGAGAGAAACTCATAGAACTAGGTGGCCTAAAGGCAATCATTAACATCTTGAAGTCCGGAACCATGGAAGCTAAGGAAAATGCTCTTAGTGCCT